CAGAGGGGGTGGATACTGGGACAAAGGAGAATTAACAACAGCCCAGCTGGTGTGGCTCAGTGGTTGAGCATCAACCTGTGAACCAGGAGGTCAGGGTTCGATTCCTGGTCAGAGCCCATGCCCGGTTCTGGGCTCCATCCTAGTGCGGGGCCTGCAGGAGGCAGCCGATCAATGATTCTCTCTCATCATTGCTCTCTCTCTCTCTCTCTCTCTCTCTCTCTCTCTCCCCCTTCCTTCTTCTCTGAAATCAATTAAAATATATTTTTTAAATAATGCCTTCTTAATATTCTTTCTAAGAAATAACTTATGTGACGAAGTTATCACAGTATCTGACATATAATAGGAAATGAAAAATAGAACTATAATTATTAAATAATGATAAAAGGCTTATTTAGAAAAAGTATGGAAAATTGGTATGAGAGATTCTGCATCTGCTCATCTTTACAGGTAAGTTGTACTTTGCTATAAGAGCAGGACACTTTTTTGTTGCTCTATATAAGACTTCTAAATGACTTGTACTTTGGCACTCATTTATTGCCATCATGATACCAGAAACCTATAAATTGGAGGTATGTAAAGAATGAAAAAGTGGAATGTTTAAGCAGGAGAGAGACTAATGAAGTAATGTGCTAGAAGAGAATTAGTTTGAACAGGGTCTCCTAAAATGTTTTCTGAAACACACCAGTACCTCAAATGGCCTGTGGAAAAATGTTCCATTCCCATATAAGTTGAAGAAGCGACCTTCTTTAGACTGCATGTTTATGTTTCCACTTAATCTCCAACATGATGGTGTTTGGAAGTGATGGGGAGGTGCCCCGATGAACGGTATTACTGCCTTTATAAAGGAGACCCCAGAGATCTGTTGTCCTTTCTGCCTTGTGAGAGAGAACACAGCAAGAAAACAGCTGCTTATGAACCAGGAAATGGCACTAACCAGAAAAAGAACGTGCCTGTGCCTTGATTTTGGACTTCATAGATTCCAGAACTGTGAGAAATAAATCTCTGTTGTCTATAAGCCACCTAATCCTTGCTGTTCTGTTATAGCAGCCTGAAGGAACCAAGACCCTGCCACTCTCTTTGAGATTCAAGTTGCATGTTAGCATAATATCTTAAAAATACTACAATACGGAAATCCTTTTACCTTCATCTCGGTATGTGACATATTTCTGTGATGGAAGATGATCCTTTTGTTGTTGCGGTCTCTCGGACATAGTGTCCTGTAGAAAAAACTTGGAAGTGCTGAAATAAGAGAAAAATAAAGTGGCTTATTATAATAGAAACAGTGCTCTTTAACCATATATCAAACAATATTAAGTCATCCATAGATGTAAAGACAATCCTTTATTTGCTGAAGCATGCTCACTCTAAACCATATACATGATTTTTATGAAATGTATCCCTTATCATTTTACTTAAAATGTTTTCCCAAATAAATTCACTATGGTTTCTAATGTGAAGAAAAACAGTGTTCAAGGAGTCTAAGAAGCAATGGTTAGAAAATCAAAAGCTAATAGTGTTTGGTTAGACTAGTTTAAACTATTTAGGGATCCCAAACACAAAAAGATTACCGCACCCCATCACATGCTTTTTTAAAAAAAATCCTCACCCAATGATGTTTTATTAATTGATTTTAGAGAGAGGAAGGGAAAGGGAGAGGTAGAGGAATAGGGAGAGGAAGTGGGATAGAGAGAAGGGGGAGAGAGAGAAACATCAGTGTGAGAAACATCAATTGGTTGCCTGTTATCAATCACCCCCTAACTGCCACCCACTGCCAGCCCAATTACCCACCTAACTGCTCCCTCAGGCTGGCCCGATCGCCCCTACCTGCTCCCCGTTGCTGGCCCGATTGCCCCCTAACTGCTCCCCCTTGCCAGCCTGATCACCCCCTAACTGCTCCCCCCTGCTGGGATGATCACCCCTAACTGCTCCCCC